TTGCGTTCATCTAAGTCTTCCTACTAATATGACCAAGTTGCGAAAACAAGGTCAAACAACTTCTATAAATAATTTCACATAAGACATTAAGCTAGGCCAATTCGATCATTCTTTTTCTATGCAATTTATTGCGATTAATGCCAAACCTTTTTAAATCTTCCCTTAGTAGATATGACGAAAAATTTGGCTTTGAAGAATTTCTTAGTGATATATAGTGATATGAATTTTCGCTTCGAAGGTAAAGTTCTTTAAAAGAAATCCGTGAATTGGCCTCACCGGAAACCGAAGGAGAATTGCCCTGGAATGATGACCGTTAGATTATGCGAAGAAGTCTACGGCTTCTCGGTGAACCTTTGCTTTCGTCTTTACCGTGGCAGGCATAACCAGTGCAAAACTCCATACTTTACGAAATAGCTCATAAAATATACTAAATTGAGAGAAGAGGTGGCCGGCTGCAACCATAATCACTTTTTACACACCTATCTGTGCAATCTTAAAGTGGCATCCCATCATTTGGTTAGCTTTCTTGAACTTACTCTACATGCTTGTAGATGAGTGAAATTAATTTACGGACAAGAAGTGGATGTGGTGGCAGCTATTTCCTTACGCAGATAAACTAGCGTATGATCTCTAATGTTGACTCATGTTCAGCAGTATGATATTGTCTATTGTGCTACTGTAATGTTCACATCGTGAGAGGTGTTTTCTTCTTATCTTCGACGTATGTTCGGTTTCCGCTCTTTTAGGAATTCGTAATTACATACAAAACAAATAAATTGTTGGCCAGGCAAGTCAATCACACTTGTTTTTCTAAAAAAATTTCCACGTAGAATTATACATTGATTTCGTTATTTATTTATACTCATACTAATTAATGACTTAGGATTGACGGAGTGGATAACAGTATTCATCTCTTTACATATCCGATTTCTTGATTCAGGATGACTGCTGCTGCCGAGTCGAAGCGTCTCTGCTCCGGCTCTGGCACTTGCTTGTTGGCTGTTTCAACATTGCCCGACAATACCGATGCCCTGACGGAAGCAGCTGCAGGCGAGGGCTGGGCTAGACGACGCACTAGAGAGCTTAAAAAGAGTCTTCGCGACTCCTTTCGTAGGCTCAAGCGAATGCGTTCCACTGTCGGTCAAACGTCAAACATCGGTCCTCCGTCTGTGTTGGGGACGACCACTGGATCGCCCGGCCGCTCTCCTGGCGGCGAGCTCGCCAGACAGACTTCTGCTATGTCCGGCTCAATTGCGTCCGCTTCGTCCAGAGTTGGCATACGCCGCACTGTGACACAGGTAGGTGAAAACAACTTATTTGCTTTTCAGCCATGAATCTAATCTCTCTTTCTTGACCCAACTATTACGATCAGAGCATTAAACTTCTCCATTTACTTTATGTTTGTAAGAGTGTAAAGATCTAGGTGTTTCGGAGAGATTCTTATTTAATTAATTCAGTTTCACTCAGCATGACTCTCAAAGTACAAGGTCACATGTTATATTTTGATGTTATTTTTGCTCTTTTCTCTAGCAAATTTCAAAATGCACCCTGTTCGCCGATTCACCTTGGAAAATAAGACGGTTTTTACAGAAATAGATGCAGAACTAAACATATTTTTTACAATGTTTTATTAATTATGCGTAGGTCTAGCAAATGAAATCAGAAGAGATTGTGACTACCGCGTCATGTCGCTTTTCGGACATAACTGTAGCCACCATTTGTTTGAAAGTGTTTAGCTAACTTTGCGATGTGATGTTTTTTAGCTATACCGAGAAAGTTGTCCTCTGAACATCATCATAATATACTATTTATAATGGTATATATAGGGCCATATTAGCCTAGTGATGATCCTCAACAAATACAACTGTAAATCTCGTTTTACCATCATTCACATTCCTACTAAACAGTCAGTGGGATTCCTTAATTGTATCCTTTTGTTCTTAACTTAAGTATCAATTTAAACTAATGCCGCATCCTACTTAAATTATATTAGCCATTCACTATCCTCTCGTTACATTGAATTATCATTTTCCAAAGGATAATTGGGATTAACTCTTGCTAAAAGCCTTTAAATCTTTATTATAAATGTATTTGTGGATGTGTATTTGCCTTTGATCTAACTGCCTTCAGTATTACGCGATCCAGTAATCCTTTCTATCACCACTATAAGCAGCGTTTTGAAAACATCACTTGTGGTGCTTTTTAGTTGACTTTGCGCCTGCTATATTTTTTTTGTATGTTTTTACTATTTATTAAATTATACATATTACA